GGCACAATGTAGTTGGATCACAGTAACTAACAGTGTACTCCAGGGATCAATATTGCACAACATCCCATTAATGATCTGGATGATGGGCCAGAGTTTATCCTCAGCAAGTTTGCAGACAGCACCAGACTCATAGGAGTGGCAGTCAGAGCAGAGGGTGATGCTGCTCCAGCATCAGAGTGACCTTGACAGGTTGGAGAAATGGACTGATGGGTACCTCATGAAGTTCAGCAAGGAGAAGTGCAAAGTCCTGCAGCTGTAGACAAAAAACCCATCGTGCACCAGGACATGCTGGGGGCACCCATGTAGAATTCAACCTGCAGAAAGGAATTTGGGTGTCCTGGTGGATAGCAGGTTGAACATGAGCCAGCAGTGGGTTTTTGTGGCCCTGGGTCACATTAGACAAAGCATTGCCAGCAGGTCAAGTGAAATGATTCTGCTCCTCTGCTCAGCTCTGGTGAGGCTCCATCTGAAGTACTGTAGGTAGAGTTCATTTTCTTCCTGGTAGCTGGCATGTGGCTCTGTTTTGGATTGGTGCTGGAAAGGCTGCTGATCACAAAGGGATGTTTTAGTCACTGCTGAGCAGGACTTAGGCAAAGTCTAGGCCTTTTCTGCCTCTCACATCACCCCACCACCAGTGGGGTGTACCACACACCCAGTGGACTGGGGGTACACAAGAGTTGAGAGAAGACAGAGCTGGGACAGCTGACCCCAGCAGATCCAAGGCTTACCCCATACCATTAGCACCATGCTCAACATATAAAGCTAGGGAAAGAAGGAGAAAGGAGAGAACACTTGGAGTGATGGCACTTCCACAGTAACCATTATGTGTGATGGAACCTGGCTTTCCTGGAAACGGCTGAACACCTGCCTGCCTGTGGGAAGTGCTGAATGCATTTATTGTTTTTATTTGCCTGCATGTGTGGAATTTCCTAACACGTTTCTCACTTTTATCCTTCTCATTCTCTCTCCCATCTCACTGGTGGGGAGTGAGCAAGTGGCTATGTGGGGCTAAGTTGCCGGTTGGGGTTGAACCATGACAATGGGACACAGAGGATGAGGAGGAGGAGGAGGAGGCTGTGCCAGGGGACCTGGAGGGACTACAGCTTCTGTCTTCCAACCCTGTTTTGGGCTGAATTTGTACAAGGAATATGAAAACAGTGAGTGAGAGGAGGAAGCCTGTGAAATGTGGAGGAGGAGGGGTTTTTGAGGTGGTGCTCTGTCAGCTCATTCTCTTGGCTGTGCAGAATGAAGACAGCATTTTAAAACCTGTAGCATTGCCCTTTTCTTCATGCTGAACTTCACAGTGCCAGCTCTGTTCATGCGCTCCGCTGGGGTTCTGTCAGGGTTCAGCAAGGATGCGATGCTGAGGCAGGCTGTCATGACGGCAGGGAGTCACCCACACGTGTGCGTGTGCACTACATCTGACGGGGCTGCGGTGCTTTGAGTTTGCAAAGCACAGTGCTCATATTAACCAGGCAGTCCAAGGGGCTTGCGTTCCCTAGCATTTATGACAAAGCATGACAGCTGGGTGTCACCTGGCTTTCATATGTGGGAGGTTCACACAAGCAGCCTTCATTTTATCAAGACGCACTTTTATTGGAGTCCTTTCTCCTGAGCTCTGATCGCAGTGCATGAGAGGAGAGATGAACATCCCAAAAGGTATTTATAGATCTGTGTTCCCACTCCTTTCCTCTTCACCATGAAAGCAATTCTACAAAGGGATTATTTTGACTGGCTGTTCAAGATTCCAGAGGAGGAGATTAACATGTAGGAAGTCTTGCAGAGCAACTGGGAAAGCTCACTGGCTTTGCACATTTTCGTGAGCTTCATGGCTCACTTTGTCAAGGTTATCTCCCTGGGACAGGATGATGTGGATGTCAAACAGCCATACAGCAAGGAAAAGGGCTGGGGTCTCACAGCAGCTGCCAAAGTCCTGAATTGCCTGTGCCTGAAGAGTTCTGACCACATCTGGGGGTTACAGAAGGTGCAGGCACTGTTCTCCAATGTGTGTATCCCTTCCTGCACATCCCCTTTTATTTTTTTTTTTTTTTTGTCTATTCAGGAAAATCCCTTATTTCAAAGATGCAAGTGAGACACGATGGAGGTGTTTTGCACTGATGTTTCTCCCAGGTGGATGGGGCTTTCCACTGATGCCAACTTTGTCTTATCCAGACAGTGATCTTGTGTGTGTTTAGGTCTCAGGGAGAGGGAACAATTTAGTGTGTAGATATGGAAAACACTGCTAACAGAGTCATTTTAGCATTCCCTTGCGAAGACAATTCCCCAAATTGCAAAAAAATTGCCAGAATCTCCTTCTACCCTGCAGCTATTCCAGTGCTAAGGGGTATGAAAAGGTGATATTTCTCCCCCAAAGAGGTTTCTGCTCTGTCTGACTGTACAACAGTGTTGCTTTCCATGGTAAAGGGACTTCTTCTTCCATGTCTCACATACCACCTTGATTTCCTTGTTTTTCCTCAAGCAGAGCCCTCAGAGTGATGCTGCCCTTAAAAAACCAACCAAACAACAAAAAAACATCAAAACAAAACCCTTAAGTTCCTTTCTTAGGGCAGCCATACCAAAGATGTTCTTGCTGGCAAAACTTTTTTCTCCTTGCACACCAAGAAATCATTTTAACAAGCCCTGGAGTTGATGTAATGGTTTTTTTTTACTTCAGGGAGGAGTGTGAAACCCTGCTTTCCTCCACGCATACATGTGGGATGGCTTTGGAGCAAACCTGGGTGAGAGGAGGGAACAGGCTGGGTTTCCAGAAGAGCACTGGGGATGTCAAGTGCCAAAATGCCAAAGTGGTGCCAGGGGACGGGGGGAAATCAGAAGGGGCAGAGCAGAAGAGCAAAATGGGGATCAGTGTGCAGTGAGAGGCTGAGCAGCAGCGAAGCAAAGAGCTGCCAAACAATGAGCAGGGCAAGGAGAAAGCAAAGGCATCATCAGCTCATCTCTCACCATGTGGCCAGCACACAGGGTGAGGGATGGGAGCTTGGGTCAGCCAGCTGGAAAGCCTGCTGGCATTAACTCCTGGTGTGTTGTGGGGTTTTTTGCATTATGGCAACTTCACACCTCAGCAGCCTGATTCCTACCCTCTTTTATACAAGAGTTCTGCTGAATAGAAGTCACCTCTGGGAAGTCTTTGATGGGGGGAAGTGCGTGTGTTTTCTTGGCAAGTTGGAGCAGGCCCATGTGCTTGTACTGCCAGTTTTAAATCAAAAGCAAGCTGCAGACTGCCTGGTAGGTTTGCACCTGCACAAAACAGGTAGCAGAAGGGTAAAGCCTGCTGCAGGAGGACAGTGGGAATCCTCCTACCACAGATGCCCCGAGGACCTGTCCTGTCCCCTTCATTCTCTTCTGTCAGCAGCTCCCTCCTGCATGCCCATGCCCATGCACAGCTCCTCTCTTTACAGCCATAACACTGATCTGTCTGCTTAGACAATATTCTTCTTTTGACTTAATTGCATATTGGCTTTTAGGTGATGGGTTTTTCTTCTCAGAACATTAGTAGATGCTTAGCATTAAATACCATCCCTAAATACCAGCTACAATCCTGGGCTCAATGGAAATTAATCCTTTGCTCAAGTAGGAAAAGATTGTATTCTGAGGAAAAAGAGAACTTTAGCCGGAATACAAACATTCTCAAACAGCTGTTTTCCTTTTCTTTTTCTTATTGAACTTCTAAAGCAGATGGCAAAAGTTAAAAATTTAAAGAAAAAATCACAGGCCAAATCTAAACCTTGATATTCTTTATGGCCTTGCTTCTCACACCACTGTATCTGTATGGACTGTAGGGAAGGCATCCCAGAAAGACAGCCTTTTCCTATTGTGATAACTATGGCACAGCTCACAGTGTTAATCACCTACCTCTCAGCCACTTTATTTCTGCGTATTTGTTTATACCCAAAGTATATGAGAGTTTTCCATATATAAGACTACAACAGATTATAAACATTTGCATAGTAGAAAGACTGGGTAAAAACACCATTGTAAGTAAATGTGTCCCCATTGGAAAAGATAGGTTATGCAGGTTGGCTCCTGCTGGGAACTCCTACCTGGCGGTGTCCCACCCAGAGTGAGGTTTGACTTGCCTGTGACAGCAACTAGTGAGTGATCTCTTCCTGCCCTTATCTTAACCCCTTAGCCTTTTGTTGTATTTTCTCTTCCTTGTCCAGTCGAGGAGGGGAGAGATAGGGTGGCTTGGGTGGGCACCTGATGTTCAGCTAAGGTCAACCCACCCCTCTGTTCAGCACTGCAGCCTGTGCTTCTGTGCCAGCTTCATCAAGGGGTTGGATCCGAGCTGTGAATATGTTGCAGCAATTGTGCTCAGCTATACTGGGCTTCAAGCACTAAAATTGGGGCACAACTGTGAAGTCTGAGCCTGTACAACCCTGAATGCTTGTAGCTGTCACTGTCTTCCAAGGAGTTATTTGTAGGGGGAAGGATGCAGGATCCATGCCTGGTAACAAAAGACATATTTCTGCACTCAGCAGCAATGCTCGCAGCACTGGTGTACTGCCCATTCCAATATTCCAGGGGGTTCAGGAGCTCTGGCTTGTGATGCGCAGGCCTGGGGTCTCCTCACTGATGAGACTGATGGAGATGTGACCAGGGAGAGCATCTGCATGAGAGCAACACCATTGCTGAGACTTGTCAACATTATTTCTCCTCCCAGCTACTTGTGGAGTGGCTGAGCACCTGCTGACAATGCTGTGGAAGCCTGACTGGTTTCTTCCAGCCTTCTGTTGTTCCACACAGCTGGCCAAATGCTGGCACATGCTTTAGATATCCAGGTTTTGCTTGTCTGTGGGAAGGGCAATAGGTATCTTTCCACATTATGTATCATCTTAGATCACTGAGTGTAATCTCCCTGGGCTTCATCTGTACATGACAAGCGAGTGAGCCCGTGGTTGTTGGTCTCATAGGCACCAGAGCAAAGGGTGCTGCCACTCTCCTGTGAAACCATAGGAAGTGTTTCATGATTCAAGATAAGACCTTCACTTCCTCGTTCTGTGCTCGTAGCGCTGAGCTGCCACCGAGGCTGCACCATCCACCCTGAGAACCCTCTCACAAAATGGACCAGGAGACCCTGGGAAGCATTGTCCTGCTTGCCATCGTCACCCTGCTCAGTGTTGTCCAGAATGGTAAGACAAAAATAAATATTTATTTAAGGGATAGAAGGGAGCTGAGGAAAGTTCAGGATGACATATTCTGAGCTGATCTTTGGATAGATAATCTTTAGTTATAAGTGCATGTATTCTTAATCATGGCTTTGGCTTTAGAAGCAGCCTTCTAAGAATGGAATTTTGTGTGACATGTTGGCAGTATCCTGACAGTCACATGGTCTTACTCTCTGACATTTTGGAGTGAGTTTGTTATACATTTCAGCTAATGTAAGGACTAATATGCTGGGATACCCTGTGGCAATATGAATTTTTATTTGATGATTAAGACCTCCTTTTCTGACCTAGGTCCATGCTATGGTCAGCCAGAGCTGCTCTCAAGCTGAAGCTCTGCTGCCATGTGCAGGGATGGAGTCCCTGGGGGGCTGCAGTGGGAGCTGGAACACGGATCTGGGTGAAGGGAACAGAATTGGAGGAGTCTGTGTGGGCTATTTGTGGGTAGGCAGCTCTCCTGCTTTCCTGCATCTCCCAGTCCTGCAGTACAGCTAATCTCAATTAACTGTGGTCCCAAGAGCACTGTACATTTCCTGAGATGGTGAAGTTTCCTTCTCTAGCTCTTATTCAGACCTTGTACAGTCCCCTGTATAGTCTTCAAGATGTTTTAAATAAAACAAGTATCTCTCCTCTAAAAATTTGATTTTAACTTCTTCATCCTCTCTTACAAATACTTTTTTAAGCAGGAAATTCTGCCCAGAATTCAAAGAAAGGATTGAGTTTTGCCTCAGCTGCACTAAGTTTGCCGAGGTTCAAAGAGATTCAGCAATGGGCTGGGTGGCTGGTGAAAATTACAGAAATCTGTAGTGAAGGCATCTTATTACAAATGGGAGATTCCCACTGAACACTAAGTCCTAGGAAATGGGCTATTCTTGGGCTGCTGCAGAGAGGGGGAAGTGGTGGAAGCCTAGCTGCCAAAGAGCAAAAAAAAAAACCAGATGCAGACTGGTTTAGTTTCAACATAGGCACTAAATGCCACATCATTTAACCCAATGCTATTCTCTGGCAAATGCACACCATGTGACATCACCAGAATATGGCACATTAAGACCAGAGCATATACCATAATTAAGAAAATGTGTCAAATATACATTTCTTGCTATGTAATCATATGACTTTATCTACAGGGCTTTTTTCCTCTCACTCAGGCATGTCAGACTTCCATCCCTGTGCTTTTATCTGTCTGTGAGATTATGGACCCCACTGTTACAAAGGGGAAGTAGCATGCTTGGCAGAGTCTGCCAACATGTGAGGCAGACAGCCCTAAACCATGATTTCAGGCTTTGCGTCATCGGATTTCCTTTTCCCAAGCTTTCTGTCTAGAAAGACCAGACCTGATACACAGTCTTGCAGTGAATGCAATTATGAAGGCAGTAGAAATGTTTGTCAAGGGGTATCAGGTGTGCTGAACTCTTGCTGTGGCTCTCATTCAGCAAAGCACTTGGGCCTCTGCTTGACTGTCTCTGAGTGCGTGAAGTCAGTACCATGTAAATTTGTGATTTAATGCTTCTCTGCGGAGGGTGCAGGACTAGAAAACAGCTTGAATGCTGTTATTCGTGAAGATGGAGGTGGGCTATGGTGCTGCCCCAGTTTCGTGTCCATTTTCTGTCACCTTGTTCATGATGGAATCTCCACATCCTACAGAATGATTCACGTGGCCACATACCACTGAGTGACGCATGCAGCCTGAAGTTTTATTCTTTTACCAGAGATATCTTGCAATCCAGCAGCTTCAGGGCAAATCAGTGGTCATTGCTGAGCAGATCAGGACAGAGGAAGCAAAGCGGAGAGAAATAAGGAACATGTTTGCAAGTAGTGGCTATGTGGGATCATCAGCTCCCAGTTTCTGTTGTTACAGATTTGTGAAACAACCAGGCTTACACTGAACTCTTGCATGTTACCTTGATCAGAGTGGGACTCCCACTGTTCAGGCTCTGGGCAGTCTTGCAGCCTTGGAGCCACAGGGCGTTATCTCCTGGAACAACTGAGGTGAATTGAACCTCTCCACTCCAGCCTTGCTCTGCTCACTCCTCTCATGATGGCTTGTAAAAACACCCTCTTGGCTCCTAGCATAGTGGAACTTCTCTGCAGCAGCAAGCTGATATTTGGGAAGTGGCAGCAGCTGCAGCAGTGGAGAGGGAGATAAACAGCTTACTTGGCTTTCTTGGAAAAAAGAAAGCCAAGTATGTGGTATTTTCTAGAGATTTTTGAGCATTATATAAGAAAGGGAGGAGGTATGCTACCAGTGAGTCCATGTGGTCCCAGACCTGCAGGAAGTCCATTTCTGCAGCTCGGCACTGGACAAAAAAGTGCTGATCAACTCTGTCCTCTTCAATTAGGTCCTCTTAGTCACTGTAGGCAGGGTAACCTCTTTGTCAAAGGCTGTGCTGGTGTGCAGATGGAGATGCTGAGAACTCTGCTACCAGATGATGTCTGGTCTGGGTCCCCCAGGAGCCAGCCAGCGCACTGTGCTGGTGGCAGTGGGAGGGTCTGCAGCCTGGCTCAGAGTAGGGATGCTGGCTTACAGCACTGTGGGTTTCTCTGCAGAAGGGCTGTATGTGCCCAGGGGATCCCACAATACTGGGAACCGAAAAACTCAGTAGTTTTTGTTAAAGACAGTGGAAGTACAAAAGACCTATTTACAGCATCAGTGAACGGGGGGGTGGGGGCAGAAAGAGGCAACCCTTCAGATTGCAGGGATAAAATCCTATGGCTTATATAGCTAAATTTTTATTGTTATAATAATGTATTTCCTGATGGGCTGTCTTTCATGTGTATATATTAGGTTAATATTCCAAGCCAGAGAGTGATTTGGACACACTTAAGATGGTGTGCACAACAACAGAAAGCTTGCAGCTTTTAGCCAGCTGGAGCTCTCTCTGGTGTACTTAGACATATGATTGATGGTCTCTGGTTTAGTGTCATCAGATAAAATGTGTTTGTCAAGAGCATGATACATTATCTTGAAGTGTTGCATTTTTGCAGCAGCTAACACTCTGACACAACTCTTGCTTAAAATGAGGATGCACACAGACCAGCCATTAAGACCAGGCTTTCTTTGGGCCTTTCTGGGAAAAGCCCTGCAGGATGTCCTTGGTTTGGCAAATGGGTTTCAGTAAAAGAGAATAGACTCCCTTGTCTCCCTACTCTGTTGGAGAGCAAGATTTGGGGTTGCCAGCTCTGACTGGAAAGCTCTTTTCCCACTGGGAGCTCAAAGGACCGGGTCAGGGCAGCATTTCTGTAGAAGAGATGCAGAGACTGCCCAAAGTGCAAAGCTGGGATGAAGCAGGGATTGGAGGTGAGAGGCTGCTACCAGCCACATACAGACATGTGGGGATGCATGGAGGGTTTGGTTAAACCTGGGTGACAGAGCGAGCACACTGGCCACATCCAGTACCCTCACACACTTGTGTCTTCTTCTGCCATCTGTCCAGCATTGATGCTTATGGAAACAGAGCCGAGCCCACAATGCCCAGCTTCTGCAATATCTTCAGGTGAGATCTCAGACTGAATACTCTGTGTTTTTTTAACAGCTTTTTTCGCTAACAAAGTGGAGCATGAAAGCAGACACTGCAACGGGAAGGTGTTGCAGCGGCAGGGATCCTCCTCCTTCGACCGTGTCTACACTGCCAAGTGAGTAGACAAGAACTGAGGAGTCAGTGAGGGTAGAGTGGGGTTCATCATGCTCTGCATTAAAATTAAATCCAAACCCTTTTGGGGGCCAGGGGTGGATTCCAAATTGCCTCAGGTGAAGGCTTTGTACATAATCCCTAGCTGCGCTCAGTGTTCAGACATGAGGTTTTCAGATATATTTGCTGGCTGAATCCAGCACCCTTCTTGCCACCATGTGGTGCATCTATATTGGTTTATAGCCATCACAAGTACTGCGTCCCTTCATCTGGTCTCTCTAGAGCAGTTCCCTTTCCCCTGCTGGAAGTGTGGCACAGGCACAGCCAGAGTGCCAAGGGCTCAAAAGGAAAGAGCCAGCCAAGATATCAGCCTGCTGAGGAGCAGGTAGGTGGCAGAGCTCATACAAATCCCTTGGTCTCTGGCACCTCCCTTGGCACACAGCTCTCCACTCCACTCCTTTGCCACATGGAATCACTCACAACTTCACTTCTCTCCCTCAGAAAGCATGCACAGCTGAAGGAGGCAGATGGACACCATTCCTGTTCCCATGCAAAGACACATGTTAACTCTGTGAGACACTCTTAGTTGTGATGCAATTCTACATTTGTTGGTTTCGTCCAATAGCTTTATTGGTATGACTCAATTAAAAGGACTTTAAGCCAATAAAGCTCACAGCATGTATCATGATCAAATGGGTTAGGGAGAAAGTGGCTTTCACAGGGGCCAGGCGGGCACAGGATGGTTTGTTTTCCTCATCAGGCGGCACAAAGGCATCTATTATCTGAGTGAGAAAACAGGGAAGCAGACCTGGGTGAGGAGCCCAGCCCTTGGCAGGTCAGGGACCTCCCACCACTCTGAGGTAAAAGTCTACTCTCAAGAGCACTAGTGCAGCCCGAATTCACCTGCCACCAGTCTCTGCTGGTGAAACATACTGATTTTTTCCTATTTGCCTGTGCTCTGATTTCTCTCCTATAAATTCCATTCTAGTCAAAACTGTGGACATGCATACCCTACGTTTCTCGCCGTGCTTTGGTGTGCTGGCCTCCTCTGCAGCCAAGGTAACACAACTGTTTGTTTGGTTTTTTCCCTCCTCAACCTGGCGACACATTCTGCAAAGGATGGTGAGCACTTTGGAAGTTACACTTTCAGGGACCAAGCCTCCTGCAGCAGGGGAGACTCTCTTACCCCCCTGTCCTGGAGCTAAGCATTGAGTAGCAGCACTCATGGCATGGCTTGGCTTATGTTAACAGGTGTGTTCCCAGACTTCATTCATGGTAGTCCAGGCCAGAGGCACTTCCCATACTGGCATTATGGACGAGTTCCCTTTGTTTTGGGTGAAGGGTTTAATACTTGGTTGCTGGATTATTGCCACATTATTCAGTTTTGGGACAGGAAATAGGCTCAATTTATTAAATTGCTAGAACTGCCAGCTCTCCCCTGTGCTGAGGCCCACCTGGTACTATTGACCTGCATTTCTAATTGTGATCCCCTTCAATGCAATGTGAGTTTATCCAACATGAAGATGAGTGCTAACCTGGGGTACATGTCTATGCTTTTTGGAAAAAAAAAGGAGATTCCTGACCAGGAGAAGAAGGGGTTTTGCCTGCAATTGTGGGAAAGGCTAGAAATATGAGATAACCCCCCTTTTTTTATGCTCAGAAGTTAGTATTGGACCATAGTGTATCCTCCACCTGCTCCTAGTGAAGTACATCTACCAACTGCCTTCTATTTCTGGTGAGGACAGTGTCTGAGTTGGGACTCTCTTTCCTAAGCCTGGTACAGCCTACACTGGGTTTCACAAAATCATAGAATGGTTTGGGTTGGAAAAATCTCAGAGATATCTCATTACAGCTCCCTTGCCAGGGGCAGGGTCACCTTCCACCAGACCAGGTTGCTTAAAGCCCCATCCAGCCTGGCCTTGAGCACTTACAGGGATGGTGATGCATCAATGCATCACCTGAGTCATCAATGGGGTATCCACAGCTTCTCTGTGAAACCTGTGCCTCACAGTGAAAAACTTCTTTATATATAATCTAAACTTGCTCTCTTTCCATTTCCCTTTGTCCTATGAGCTCATGTCCTTGTAAAAAGTCCCTCTCTAGCTTTCTTGTAGGCTCCCTTTAGGTACTGGAAGGATGGTGGTGAGTGTGTGCTCTGCAATGGGTGCAGCTGTGTGCAGGGTTACACCCACAAAGTCTTCAGAAAAGCTGGAGTGAGGGCAAGGCAAGTGTTGTTTCCTGTGCAGACGTCTCCATCCTAGTTCCAGTGTTTGTCCCATAACCCAAGACTGCAGATTTCCATTTCCATTCCAGCCCAGGCAGCAGATGGGGACAGTGTGTACAGTGAGACCTGGGCTGGTGTTTTTAATGTGTTTTTTTGTCCTTTACCCAGCTCCTGCTGCCTTTGCTGGCCTGATGTACTTGTTTGTGAGGCAAAAGTACTTTGTGGGCTACCTCGGGGAGAGGACTCAGAGGTAAGGACTTGCAGAGCCTCTTTAAAAAATCCAGAATGTGCTAGCAGTACAGCTGGATGCTGCACTTCCACAGGCAGAGCCACTGGCTTGTGGTGCTGCCTGCAAGAGCTGCTGGCATTGGGTAGTGCATTTGGATAAATGGGGGTAGCTGTGGGAAATGTCAGATGTGCAGCAGCACTGGGGTTAGGGGGCCTACAGCTCCTGCCCACAGGACTCTCTAAAACACAGGTTTGCATGTTTGTGTCACTATTTGCACAAGATTGTCCTTTTATATTAATATTTATATTTCATTTATATTAATAAAGAAAATTACACACATGTGAAACAGAATTGTCTCACAGCCTGTAATGGATGAGAACACATTCAGCTGTCTCTGAACAGACAGTTTTGTAAGCAGCAGCCTTCGCTGAGAACAGAAGGCCAAATCCAAACCCAAATGGATCCTGAAAATTACATTTAAGCCCTTTCAACTGCCTGGCAATTCAAGACAGAAAATAAAATTTCCCCCACTCTCTCAAGCCCCTGAAATCTTTCATTTGGTCTCAACAGCAGTCCAGAGTCTGAGGGTTCTCGTGTGAGATGATGCACATTATGAAATTGCTTTCCCCCATTTCTGTCTCCTCAGCACTCCTGGTTACTTGTTTGGAAAGCGCATCATTTTGTTCCTGTTCCTCATGTCTGTGGCTGGAATACTCAACTACTATCTTGTCTTCTTTTTCGGAAGTGACTTTGAGATACACATTAAGACGATAACCAGTGCGATCTCTCCATTGCTGCTCATACCCTGACTCTCCACAGCACTGAGGGGGTCAGCTCGCTTCATATATTGATGCCCAGAAGCTGCTATAATTCAACTGTTTAAGAAATGAACCCATAACCCAGTGAGATTTCTGTAAATGTCATGCTTGACAAACTCTGTAGTTTGATTTAGCCTTGCTTTTTTTCTTCAGGAAAAAGATTTATCATGAGCACTTGGCATGCCCAAGGAATGGTAACAACTTTCAGTTAATTCTTTAGAAGTTTTTCCTAAAGGCATCTTGCATGCTGACTGGAAGGGACATTGTATGCTTGCTTCATAACTGTGTCATACTTAGCTTTTGTCCCAAAACCCAGTGTTGTTCCTGACTGTGGTGGCTCCCCCAGTCACCCTCAGATGCAAGAGCAGCCTTTCACCAGCATTCCACGCACCTCTGCCTGCACAAAGGCATGGACCAGCCTCTTTACCTACTCTTTCCCTCCGACTTGTTGATGACCAAGTTCTTGCTGTTGCAGGAGGGTGGCAAATTAGTCCCTTCCTTCATAAAAATTCATGTGCATAACACTCACCACACTGATCTCATTTACACTTCAGCCTCTTTGTTCTGCCACAGCTGGGAAAAGGAGTGGTGTGTAAAAGAGGAGCTGGTGTATCGCCGGTGGAGTTTTGATTGGCTTTGTTTAATAAAACAGTCTAAAGCGGTGAAATGTGTCTGCTGCTGTCTTCTTTGCCCAGTGCGTGATCCCCGTGCTCCGTGGCTCAGCAGCTGGACAGTGGAGCAAGGACAGGAGCACCGTGCTCTTTGTGCGAGCTGCGCATCGCCCTGTGCAAAAGGACTGAGCTTAACAACTCCCGCTCTGTGAGCACATTCAGTGTTCTGCTCCCAGCTCTGACAATGTGCCCCGCAAGTCCGCGCCGAGGAGAGCTTTGATTACTGGTGCAGACCGAGGCAGGCAAACAGGTCGGCACAATCTTTTTAAATATTGCTACCCTCCGAGTGCTTAAGCTCTTAAGCCTGTCTGATTGCTGCATGCAGGATGGATAAAGCTGTATTTTATGACTCCTTCGGGAGGGAATGAGACTCCTCGCTATGTGAGAAGAAGGTTTGCAGAGCTGTTCACAAAAGCAGGTGCAGAAAGCCTTTGTACTACACCAAGGCTGGAGGGTTTTGGTGCTGTCTCATGGGGCAAAGGTGCTTGGCTGCTCTCCTCTGCAGATCTTTTTCTTTTTTTCTTTTTTTTTCTTTTTTTTTTTGTGCTCTACAGGAGTCTTAGGTGCAAAAGATTAGTAATAGACACATTTATTGCAGGAAGATTATAAGCGTTCTCACTGGTTAGAATAGGTAATAAAAAAAATTTAATCTAGCCTTCCAACCTACAGCTGCTGAGACACCTTATTCCCAGGCAGGGCACTCATGTTCCTTCCCTCCCATCCTTCTCATAACACACTCCAAATGCTCCTCACACCATGCTTTTCTGCATAGCTCTCTTCATAGCTGATGCCAGCTGCCTATCCTTGGTGGAGACCCTCTACCCTTCTGCCCCATGGCAGCACCCCAGGAGGAGAGGGGTAACCCCAGTGGTCTGGAGCTACAGAGCTTGTCTGCATTGCTGGGATCTGCAAAGGCTCATGCAAAGGCTCATGCAGCCACCACCTTTAGCCAGTTCAGAGCAGGAGAAGCTTCACCAGCACCAGTCCCTGTTCTCCAGCTTGTTTGGTCTCCCTGAGTTCTGGGACTTGTTAATGGAAACCGTCACTTGTGGGAGGTGACTCTCCCAACTCTGTGTGTCTGCTTGCAGGTCTCCTCAGATAGATGAGTCTCCTTGTGGTGCTTTTTTGTCCACTATATCTAAAACAGCTCACTTGAACTCCTGCCTTCCCCTGTTAGCATGACAAGTGACTCTCCACCAGCCAGCTATAAAGGGAAGAAGATTCAAGTGTCTATTTCGGGTCAGATAACCTATTATAGCACTCTATGGCTCCTCCATTAGACTTGATGGTCCTTGTGGGTATCTTCCAACTCAAGATATTTTACGATTCTCTGTCAACTGGATGGTTGGTTTTTACATAGTTGTACTTAGGTATGATCAGGTCATCTTTCAGAGGAGCCAAAGCCCATCTTTTGCTGCAATATTTTATTTTGCAAGAACGTCTCCTACTTGCTTCCTCAAAACTTTTCTGATAACAAAAGAGATTAAAATGTAGGCAAAATCCATTTTCCATCTATCTGAAAATAGTGACAGTATCATACAAACAGGTGCAACATAAATTGATCACTAGGTAAATTCTTGGTGAATGTCATGATGTGTTTTTCATATTACAGGCAGGCCTTGTGGTTGCATTTGCCTTCCGACTCTTTCTGTGAAAGGAAGGCAACGTCAGTGATATTTGGGCTTTTCCCACAGTCTTACACAGCTCCAGTTTTTGTTTTAAGCAGCAAAGCCACCCTGATCTTGTTGGTACAGTTGTCAGCAGTTAGCACACCATCTACTCAGAAAGCTGCACACACAGGCTTTTGTAACGGGGTTGGACTAGATGACCTTTAAAGGTTCTTTCCATCCCAAACCAGTCTGCGATTTTATGGTTACACAGATAAATATGCAAAAATACAAACACCACTGTAAACATGCACGCTGGGGCCGCATACACAAGAACCTACTGAGCTGCACTGGACTTGGGAACATGGTTGGTGGCAGAAGTGGCAGTCCCCTCTGACAGCTCCTGCTTAAGGCTGGCTTGAAAATTCCAGGCAGTTTTCACATGCATTTGGTGCAATGCACAGCATGGCAGCTCCTGACCTGCAGCTGCAGCTGTATATGAAGAGATAACATTTCCCAGTTCTGCTGATCAGCAACAGTGTGGCCAGCAGGACCAGGGAAGTGATCATCCCCCTGTACTCAGTACTGATGAGACACTGGAGATCTTATTGCTGTCTACAACTACCTGAAAAGTCTCTTCTCCCAAACAACCAAGAAATAGGACAAGAGGGAATAGCTTCAAGTCACACCAGCAGAGGTTTAGGTTGGATATTAGGTGAAATTTCTTTACTGAGAGGGTGGTCAGCCATTGGAACAGGCGTCCCAGGGAAGTGGAGGAGTCATCATCCTTGGTGGTATTTAAAAGCTGTGTAGATGTGGCACTGAGGTTTAGTGTTGGACTTGACAGTCCTGGGATAACAGCTGGACTCAATGTTCTAAGTCTTCTCCAACCTGAATGACACTGGGATTCTATCATTGTGCTGGTGCTGCTAGCTGTCCCACTTGCCATGTTGCCAGGCTGTGGGCTTTGCTTCACCACTGGTGCCCTGACTCATTGCCATGGTGTGCCAATGCCATGCCTCGTGGCTTTTTGTGCACCAAAATCCCAGGTGCACAAACAAACATTCTGTCATCAGTGCATAAGCATAGGCACAGTGTGTTTGCTTACCATTTCTCTCTCTCTGTTATCATCTATCCATCTATCTATCTATCTATCTATCTATCTATCTATCTATCTATCTATCCGTCTGTCTGTCTGTCTGTCTTTAACCATGTTGTAGGTGCTGAGTCCCATGGATGCTGAGGCTGTTGAGGGAGGGCAGGGAAGCAGGCTGTGCTTCCCTTCCCAGCCCGCTCGCGGCTTTCTGGCCGTGCACATCAGAGACTGCGGAGCCTGCTGGAAGCCGGGATATCGCAGGTTGCCTTTGATCTGCTGACAAAGGCCTGGCATGCATGCAATATTTCTGCCACAGTAACCACGGCTGCTTCCTTACACCACTACAACCCTCTAGTGGAAACTTGGCCCCATCGGCACGCTGGTGCTGCTGGCTGTGGCATGAGCTGTTCCCTCAAGGTTTGAAGCCTGGCAGCAGTGCAAAAGCATCCACATTTTTGAACAGGTGTATTGTTACTACTGAATGCTGTTTTTTATTATTCTTTTAAATAGGAGGCCCAGTCCTAAAGCAGGACCCCTCCCCTACCCGTGCCAAAGCAAGCAGTCCTGCTTAGCACAGGATCTGAGCAAGCAGGTAAAGTCCAAGTGAAATAAGAATTTTGTGTGCACCAGCCACAAGGATTTCCTGCAGTAGTTCCTATATTCCTCGTTTCCCAGAGCTTGAAAAATCATAATGTGCAGTATCAGCTTGCTCTAAGTCACACCTCTGCCAGGTGAGGTTTCCAAATGTGTCTCTGAGGACTGGGAAAGCAATTCTGCTGGCACAGAGAAAAGACTGGCCCTGGACTCCTCCTTCAACTCTCACCTGCTCTGAGGTTACTTTCTTCTAGCAGAGTAGCAGGTTTAATATTCACAGAAAGCTTTCCAACACCCTGTTGGGATGGCATACTGCAAGGCACTGAGCACTGGCCCTAGGCATTGGTGTGACACTTGCAGATGGCACTGGGAGCAAGACTAGGCCATGCTTGGAAATAGTCCACCCATAATAAGAGAACAGAGAGTAAAAACTGAGAATAGTGGTAAAATCATTCATTGTGTGATTTTAAGTTGGTCTCATGTTCCTGCTGGAGTGAGCAGGATGAGCATTCCCATGAAAAAGCCCCTTTTTGAGGGGCTCTGCAGAGCCCAGCAGAGCCTACCAGCACCCTTGCAGAGAACATGCTGACTCCTGGGAGAGGGAAGGATGTTGTACACTATGATATTCCTTTGGAGCACGTGGGGGACAGACACAACCTTCACAATCCCTTTGGGTAAAGAAGACTGTTATCCCTGGAGCTGCCAGGGAGCATGCAGGACACCTCAGCCGTGGTTCCTATCAAGGCAGTTCAATGCCTCAGGGGTGAGGGTGGAGAATCAGCCATTGCATTGATGACTGGCTGCAGTGGAGCAAAAGGTGCTCTTAGCAACACTGTTGTGATCCCCATGTCCCATGAGAGAGGAGGGATGAACTGTGCCTCTCATTGCACCTGCCCTGGCAGAGGGAGGCTGTGGGCAGCAGAGCATCAGCTCTGCCCCATCCTGCCTGCCAGAACATCTCACTGCTCCCAGCCACTGCATAGAAACACAGAAGCTGGCAAAAGTGAGATTCTGCCCCAAAGGACAAACAGCCTTCACAGTGAGATTTTTTCCCCTTTAGATGAGAAATAAATAACTTTTCAATTTCAGCTGCAAGGATCTTCACACTGTGAGATGATTTCATCAGACAGAGGAGTTCCTGGGGCTTGGTGCTGGCTGCCTACTGAGCTGCTCAGATGCTGTCCTCATGGAGCTCCTTGCTCAACCTCAGGGGAAGGGAACCAGACACCAAAGGGGCAGAGAAGAAATGGGATGTGTTTTCCACCTAAAGAAATTAAGGTGTGATGATGTTGCAGTTATGGCAGTGCTGTTTCTGCCATTTGGGAACTGGCAGGGACTTGCCTGTGTGCCATGACCTCTTGCAAGGCCAGGGGATGCTTTGGAGCAGCAGGCTGCTGCCTGCTGCGCTGCTGTTTGCCACTACTTGCACAAGCATACGATTGATTTATTGTTCCTGTGTTTGCCCAAGAGAGTGCCACTGCTGCCTTCATCCCCAAACAATATTTTCTGTCCTTTTGGCACAGGACTTCAGAGGGTGTCAGTCTGATCCAGCAAGAGACCCTTTGGTCCTCTGGGATTAAACAGAACAGCATGGTTTCTCCTGGCCAGCTGCTTCTTGCTATTCCTTTTGCTGCAGCAAAGGAATTTCTTTTCAAAAGGCAGTGCCAGCCTTCCCACTGCCCTCAGCAGATGGGAGGGG